GATAGATAGATAGATAGATAGATAGATAGATAGATAGATAGATAGAGGATTGGACAGATAAGATAGATGGATTAATGGTAGATTGATGGATGGTAGGTAGGTAGATTGGTAGGTAAGTAGGCAGATAGAATGACTGATGGAGCAACAAATGGATGGGTGGATAGACATAAGAAAAGATATACAAATGACTTCACTATCAACACAAATACAAACAATTTCAATAACATCACCTTCCTTGATACAATTACAAAGGATCTCTTCTTTACATATCTCGTCAATAAACAAATTATTAAAACCTCCCATCATTAAATCCAAGCCCATTAAGAGTTACCAGAAATAGCAACATATATATTTTAGCTTTAATCAAATAAATCTGTTTTATATTCTTTACTTTTAACATCATCATTTACAACTTTCTCTAAAATATAAATCCAAAAAATACCTTCTGCTTTCTTTGCAAGTGTGCTAATACGGCCATGATGCTGCTACCTTAGCAAGGGGTGGAATTTAAGCGTTCTCTTAATTTTCCCTTTTATGGCTCTCATTATCTTTTGGTTCGGAGCCCATCATGGTCTCAGCAGCTGGGAGGATTGGAGGCATATTGAACGGTTCATCTGACATTAGGCTGTGGTTGGTTCAGATATCCAGCTGAATCTAGCTCGCCACTTGGTTTAAGTCTAATTTATGGGAATCCCTCTATCAGTCTTACTAAGTAGATCAGACAGGAAACCTAGCCAGATAATTTCAATCTGCTTTATTGTAAAGCTACAGTAGCAGAATCTCGCAAGTGTGAAATTACAGTTCTCCCCCCATCCCTCCTATACAACCAAAGAAACTAGGGAAGGTTCTTTTGGGGGCCTCTTGTTCCTTCCATTATACAGCTGTGGGCTATGTAATCTCTTATCAGACAGTTTCTTAGGTGGTGTCTCTTGGTCCAGTCTCTTGAGGTCTTTCCTGTATATCATTACATCCTTTGATGTCTTAGTATGAGCAAGCTGATTCTGATCTCCAGTTCTCCCTCTGTATTGGACGATATTTTATTGCAGGACTGGCCTGAAGTTCAGTGCAAAAAAGGACTGAGATGATACAACTTTTAAAACCAAGAAGGAAATGGTTTGGAAATGTGATTTGTTCTGACTTGGCCTAAAACTGGTTTTCAAACTTATATGGGTTAAAGCTCTGGCAAAAGCTGTTATTTTGTCCTGTTAAATTTTACCACTCTGTTGCTTTTCCTCCCTTCTTTCCATCCCTTATCATCTCTGAGGATAATTCAAGTATTGTGTGGCTGTCCCTTTTGACTGATATTTCCTCTAAAATTGCTTTTCTTTCTTCGAACTATCTAAGATGGCAACTGGTAATCAGAAATGGTGATGCTGAATTCTTGGTTTTAAGAAGATGGCTCTATTGTACCACGTGAATTTGCAAAAAAGAAAAAAAAATGGAAAAGTGTTTTCCTTCTCCCAAGAGGTTGTTTAAAAGAGAGAAAAATCTGGGGCTTAAAATTAAGAGCTGATATTTGTGGGCTTTAAGAACCTGCTGCAGGAGTACAATCAAATTACTATTTGCAAATGCATTTGGATGCTCACAATTTATTTTGTGGAATGCAAATTCCTTGCAAGATTTTTTTTAAAAAACAAACACTTGGAGGGTGGAATGATGACAGAAGTCTGTTCACTATGTCTAAATAAGATCACTTTATTGTGGGAAACCAATCTAACATCTCACCCCCTAATCAACGTATTTGTAACAAGCAAGCTGCAAGGTTTGCTGTGACTCAATTTTATTTCATATGAAATATGCCATTTCTGTTCTATCAAAAATGGGAGTCCCCAGTTTGGCATTCTTCCTCTTTGTGTTTATGAGCCACTGCGAATAAATCCCTACTTTACTCTTACAAGGTTCTGCTGGACTTTATTAAACCAAATTAAATATCTCCTAAATAAACAGTGGAGGAGAAAAAAAAAACATCAATGAGTAATCCTAATCTCTTTTTTTTTTTCTTCCCATGTTGGCAGACCAACTTAATTGCTGGGATCTGTCAGTATTTCTCATTTAGCTAATTAGTCTTCATTAGGATTGTCCAGGTTTATTTAAGGTCTGAATTAACTGAAAAAAATGCACATTCTTGCTGAGGTTGGGAGATTTAAATGTTACATGCTGGCAACTTTCTTGCAAGGAAAGCATTTCGGGATCGATAAAATTTGTCTCTGAAAATATTTGAGGCTTAAATTTCAGTTGTGGTCTATTCTTAACCACTTAAGCCTTTTTTTTTTTTGCTATTTTTTTTAACTATTTGTTAGATTCTGCCTCTCTAATTTATTTTGGGGAGGGAAAGTTGGATGCAAGGAAATTGGAAGAGAGCAGAAGAGGGCAAAGAATAAAGATTTCCAATAATTTAGAGAAGCTAAGGATAAAATGGAAATGCATTAATTTAAAAAGCGATGCTTTCTCGAGTGTTACAATTAGTTCCTGGCAGTGGCGGAGGAGGAAATTACCTATTTTATGTATAAATCTGAACAATTAATTACAAAAAGAACATTCTGACAGTTGTGGAGAATATATGTCGCTTTGAGGTGGATATAATAAATTCTATTACTGAGCAATCATAGCTGAATCTCTAAAAAGGAAACCATAGTTGCAGAGGTTCAGTTTTCCAATAACCAGGGCCCTCCAGACAGGAAGGACTACAACACCTAGAATGCACAGGCTGAGCTGCAGCATGGAGTTCTTGATGCTCTCTGAGCTTGGTTGTTTGCATTACCTGACTAGATAATATCATCAGTATAAGGGAATGTGCAGTTTACTCTCTGTTTATATATAGTATCTTGCCCTATAATTGTTGGTCAGGGTATAGTTTTTTCCTCGGTACTTTCTTGAATAGGATATTGTTTTCTGCTTGATCATTTGTCTGGTGTTAATCCCTGCTTATCTGGGTATACGCTTTTTCTCATCCTTTTCCAAGGGGAAAAAGGAAGTTCCACCATACAAAAGAAGCACATTTATTACAAGGCCAAGAGACAGGATGTGGATTTTAGCCCCGGCTGCAATGTTGGACTTATTAATTAAACACAGCATCACTGCGGCTATGAGGTCTGTTTATGCAGACATCACTTTAGCCTTTCCACGGATTGTCCTAGCAGCCTTTGAGGAACACAGCAAAGGTGAAAATGATTTTTTTCCTGTGTCCCACATTTTACCAAAAAAATACCCAATTCTTGGCAAGAAGATAATTTGCCTTGTCCCCTAGCCCCCCTACTCAGCATTTCTGGGGAGATCGGAGAATCCTTGCAGAACTCAAGAATAGAGATTAAGTCGGCGGACTTCTCCTTTGGGGTAGCAAAGAAAAGTGCCTTTTAAAATCATTTTAAGTAGGAAAAAAAAAAGAAATAAAAGACAGCTCAAACCAATATGAAACCATAACGAAAGGGATTGTCGAAGCAGTGTTCTGCAACTTTAAGATGGGTGGTCTTTAATCCCCATCCATCTTAAAGTTGATGAAAGTGAGAAACTCTGGTGTGTAAGAAGTGGTTCTGGGGTTGTCTTGGCTCTGGGTACCTAAATCCTAGTCTACAACCAGCTCTGAAGCTTGCAAAAAGCTCCCATTTGCAAAATCAAAACTAAAGGACTAAATTGCGAAGGCTCACATGTACATGTTGAACTCTAGTAAGTGCTCCCTCCCTGCCTCTTATCCCATATACACAGCCTTTTCCATGGCATCCTCCACCTTCATGTATTCCAAAAAGGTAGGGTAGCTGGTACATTCGTAGCGGCTGTTACTCCGAATGTATTTAATGAATTCTGGAGCTCCTGGGAAGATGATATTGTCGGCTAGAAGGATGGAGCCCTTGCGCAGGAGACCACATTCCTGGGAAGAGGAGAGAAGGAAGAGGAAAAAAATTAGACTTCTCTAATTTCTAGACTTCCCTAATGTCACAAAGTGTTGTGGTTAGCCGGCAGCAGGTGCGGATGGCTGAGGAGAGCGAGGACTCAGATGAGGGGCCAGGAGCATTAGGGAGTGGACTGCTGCCTTCAGAGATTGTGGGGGCTGGCAGCAGCGATGAGGAGGTTCCCGAGGAGCCTGTGCGCGTGCGCGCGGGGCTGCTCATAGGAAAGAGCAAGTACAACAGCACGGGCGACTCGGGAGTAAGGCTGCAAGGTAATGGCCCCTCCTTCAAGAAAGCTAGCTGTGAATCGGACGTTCTTTGCAGGAAGCAAAGACATTTTGAAACTCCAGCCTCGAAGACATTGCAGTATCTTAGTTGGTATTTGAAGACTTTTGTGTTGTAAAATATTTCTAGGCAACCTTATCTGTTATTCTTGGCAGCCTCGCACAGTTTTGGTGAGGCTCGTGCTTATCAAAGTTAATTAGTTTGAACCGGGAAAAGAATCATTAAAAGGTTTCTATTCGCTTTGGTTCGTGTTTGTTTTATTGGACAAGGGTTTGGGTCAGAACATAAGGCTGCAAAAATGCAAAATGTGTACATGACGGGTGGGGAGAGAAAAAGATGACCAAATCAGCGGTGGGATTCAAAAAATTTTACCACCAGTTCTGTGGGCGTGGCTTGGTGGGCGTGGCAGGGGAAGATTACTGCAAGATCCCCATTCCTTCCCCATCCCACTAACCGGCTTTCCAGCGCCGTTCTCCTGTGCAGGACAACCAAAGAAGATCCAGCCGATCAGCTGGGACTCAATGGGAGGCAGAGAAGAGATGGGGTTGGCGGGGCCAGTCAGAGGCGGGATTGACCGGTTCTCAAAATTCCCACTACTGGCTCTTCCAGAACTGGTCAGAAAAGCACCTCAAGATTTCCAAACATAAAATTAACTTACTTCAAGGAGAATAGTGTCTGGGGCGTATCTCTCCTTCCAGTGGTCGAGAAAGACAAAATCCAGGGTTTCCACCCCATATTTCTTCTTCAGCTGAGGGATAACATCCTGCGAATGGCCTTCAATGATGGTCACCTACAAGCAGGAGCAATGAACTGACTGGAGCAAAGGCTGACCCCACAAAGCACCCCCCCACTTCCCCAAATGATCCTTTGACTGGGATCTGTCTCAGTTTTCCTCCTCGCTCTTTTGCTTCTTGATATGGTGGGAAAGTAAATCTGGGCGCTATTCCCACAATTATTCCCAATGCCCAGATAGCATTCTGGGAAATTAAAGTCGCTAATGATGAGGACTAGCATCCTAGAGAGAAAAAGGCAAATACAAAACGAGGAGTCCTTGAGCTTAACATCATCAGTGCTAGAAGGGAATGGAGAGGAAGGGGGGACAGTAGGGCCATTGGTGTTCTCTGAGCTTGGTAGTTTTCTTTTGCAGACATTTCACAACCCAACTAGGTAGCATCATCAATGCTAGGGGGAACTGGGCTTGGTCTCTCCTTTCTAGCACTGATGTTTTTACCTAGTTGGGTCGTGAAATGTCTGCAAGAAAACCACCAAGCACCAATGGCCCTACTGCTCTTCTCTTCCTCCTCCTCTCCACTCCCTTCTAGCACTGATGATATTACCAAGTTGGGTCATGAAACATCTGCAAGAAAACCATCAAGCTCAGAGAACACCAAAGACCCTTTCATTTCAACCCTCGGCTACAGATATTCTCTTTTACAAATACAAATTGGTTTCCAAAAGGCTTCGTCAGTGTTGTCTGGCAGCAGAACTGAACTTGGCAACATAATCAGAACTTGGTGATTTCTTTTTTTTATTATGGAGTGTTCTAAATGATTGCATGTGATTTATAAATATCGGGCTCCTGCAGATGTCTCAGAACAACCATCATTTTTGTGCAGTCCCTGGATTGGAATCAGTACTAAATAAACGGAAAAGCAAGGATGAAGAAAATTAATTGGGCATGTCTACGGAGATTCACAGTCATCCAGGTCATGGCTGTCCCGAAGGTGCTTTCTCAAGAGGCAACTGGACTGTCTGGTTTTTCTTGGAAAAGACATTTTGCTTCTCATCCAAAAAGCTTCTTCAGCTCTGACCAGATGGTGGGGGAATGGAAGGATTTATATTCCTTGCAGACAGCTGGTCATTTGTCTCCTTTTAGAGGGTCGTTGAGGCCACCTGGAGGTTTACCTGTGTCATCAGATAAACACATGGTGCGACATAGGACAACAAACCCACCAGGACAAGATTCAGGAGTCCATTCTGCATTTAAAAGACAAAGGCAGCTCTTTGGAAGACAGCAAAGTCCACGTTTTGGACAGAGAAGACTGCTGGTTTGAAAGAGGCGTCCCAAGAGGCCTTTATGTCAACATTGAACAGCCCTCTCTCCAGGGAGGGGGAGGGATACAACATTGTCTATCTCCAGGCTACAACACGGTCCTTTCAGCAGTTCCAAGAAGGATCCATACCCATTTGCACTACTCGGGTGACCCTGAGGACACAGACAAACCTCCAAGTGGCCTCAACCACTCTCTAAAAGAAGGCAAAGATAGTCCCCTCACATCCTGGACATAAATTGTTTCAACTCCTACCCTCAAAACAATGCTATAGAGCAGGGGTCCCCAACCACCGGTCCGCGGACCGGTACCGGTCCGCGGAACAACTCCTACCGGGCCGCGGCTTGCTGGGCGCCGCCATCTTTTTTGGATGAAAAAGTGCTTCCGGTGAGCTTT